AGTTTTGCTTTCCAAAATTTTCAGTGAAGTAGTCATCCCTGCATAACAGAGATTCTTAATATCCTATTTATTGGTGATGTATTTGGGAAACCAGGTAGAAAAATGATTGCAGATTATCTTCCAAAGATTAAATCCAATTATTCGGTAGATTTAATTATTGCGAATGTTGAGAATGCTGCACACGGAAAAGGCGTAACACCCAAAATATTAAACCAACTCATGAAATCGGGAGTGGATTTTTTTACATTGGGGAATCACTCGTGACATAAGCAAGATTTTCTTGAGCATATATTTAATAACTACCAAAATATAGTAAGACCTTTAAACTTAAGTGATTCCTTCAAATACCATACTTTAGGTTTAGGAACTAGAGTCACAAAGATAAAAAATACTCCTATACGAATTACAAATCTTTTAGGAAATAGTGTTCATTTTAAGCAACGACAAAGTAATTGTTTTTTATGTTTTAGTGAGTTGCTCGAGAAAATTAACGCAGAAAAAAATGAGAAAGAAATTCACATTGTAGACTTTCATTCAGAAACAACTAGTGAGAAAAACGCATTTCTATGAGCATTTAATGGAAAGGTGTCAGCTGTTTTAGGAACACACACACATGTACCTACAAACGATGCTGTAATAACGCACGAAAAAACTGCCTATATTTCAGATGTTGGTATGACGGGTCCATCTTGTGGTATTATAGGTGGGGAGAGAACAAGTATTATTCAAAAATTTTTCTACCCTGAAATGAAATTTGTATTACAACCGCAATCAGGTCCTTCTCAATTATGTTCTGTTCTAATATCTTTTAACAGGAAAAATTATTCACCAATCAAAATTCAGCCAATTATCTTGCGAGAAGGTTATTTATTTGACCAACATCAATTAAATTTGACTTAATACAACCACCCTAAACTTTCCTAAATAATCTTTATATTTTTTAATTTGAAACTTTTTATTGGATAACTCTAAATTATCTCACATGTTTTCATGAAATTCACTACATTCTGCAATAATTAATTTTCAATTGGTATTCTTAGAGGCAAACGCAACTATTTTCTGATAATGAGATCATCCATTTTGACCTGCTTGCAGAGCTCATTTAGGATCATATTTATATAAATTACTTAATTGAAACTCCTCTTTTCCCCCTTGACCAACATAAGGTGGGTTTATAGTAATCACATCCCAATTTGTATATTTACATAGAAAGTCTGTTCAGTTGGTACAGTAAATGTTTCCCGATAACTGTTGCTCGATCCGGCTAACATTTTTGAAAGTATTTCGGCAACTTAGGAAAGAGCAGTCTACTGCTCCATATTTAGATATTTTTCCCATATTTCTCCCTAAAATGGAAATCAAAATATTTCCCGCTCCTGAGCAAAGATCTAAGTAAGAAAAGTTTGATAACTTCAGTTTTTTAATTCAATCACACGCAACTTCCACTAAAACTTCTGTTTCTGGTCTTGGGATAAAAACTCCCTGATGTACAAATATCTCGTTACTTCTAAAAAAAGACTTTTGTGTGGATCTAACTAAAGGATACGATTCGTTTGAAACCTTTTTAATTGATTTATCTCTTAATTTTCACTTAAAATCAATTTCACTATCTTTCAGTGAATAGTAATCATTTAAGCTTTTAACCCTCCCAGAATTTAAAAATATTAGTTCCATGGCCCGATATTTCAACTCTTCGGGAAAAAAAGAAATGAACTCACTAAAAGAGTTATTGAATTTACCCAACTTAATTACTTTCTACTAAATTATTCAATCAATCTTCCTGCTCCCGCAGGGAGAGTTGTTGATGAATAGTGGAAAGATTTCCCTCCATAATAGATGACAGATTATTAATTGTTAGTAATATTCTATGATCAGTCATTCTATTTTGGGGATAATTGTATGTTCGAATTTTTTCCGATCTTTCTCCTTTTCCTATTTGCTGTTTTAATGTAGAAAACAATTCTTCCTTCTGTAATTTTCTCTCGCGCTCTCAAAGTTTGGCTTTCAAAATTTTAAAGGCGATTTCCTTATTAAGCATTTGAGATCTTTCTTGCTGACATGCAACCATAATATTTGTAGGCAAGTGAACAATTCTAACAGCAGATTCTGTTTTATTTACGTGTTGACCTCCTGCTCCACTCGCTCTATAAACATCTATTCTCAACTCACTTGGATCTAACTGAATTTCAATCTCATCAGGTTCTGGAAGGACGCTAACTGTAATGGTCGATGTATGTACTCTTCCTTTAGACTCTGTCTCCGGCACTCTCTGAACCCTATGTACTCCTGATTCATACTTCATCCTGGAATAAACTTTATTCCCTGATAATGTAAAAGTAATAAATGCAAATCCCTTTTCACTTTCTCTAAGTTCAACAATATTTAACTTCCATTTATTTTCTTGAGCATATTTTTTATAAGAATCAAATAAATTTGCTACAAAAATAGCAGATTCTTCTCCTCCCGCAGCTGCATGCATTTCAATCACAATATTTTTTCCATCATATTTATTATCAGGTAATAATTCTGACTTAAAACCACTTTCTAACTCTTCTATTTTTTTTGAAAGAGTTAAACATTCCTCCTCAAATAACTGTTTCAACTCACTATCAGTATCTTTAGAAAGAGAATTTTTACATTTTTCATAATCTAAGATGCATTTTTTATAAATCTCAAACTTAGAGATTAACTCTCTATTTCTCGACAATTCTCTCTGCAATTCGATATCTTTAACATTTGAGGGATTAGCATTCAATTTCTCTTCTAAAACTAGCTGCTTCTGTGAAATCATACTTAAAAAAGAAAATAATTTAGAGTTGTAAATCAATACAGTATTAAGAACTCAAGACTTCTGCTGTTATTGGAGGGCCGAAGCCCAATCCAAAAAGACTATTTAATATTTTGTCTCCCTGAAGAGAATTTTTCTTTTAATTTTTCGGCAGGTCCCAAATTAGATTCTGAGGCCAACTTACCTAAATAAAAAGGATGACAAGCTGCGCAAATGTCTAGTTGAACCATCTTACTAGATTTATCTCCACTTAATAATTTATACTCAGCCCCACAAGAATTACAGACATACGTAACTAAATTTTCTATTAAATTAGCTTTCATTTAAAAAACAACCAATTTTAATGTTAGAATCTTATCCTTAATTTTCTCTCAATGGAACTCAAAATCAATTAATCTCCTATTCTTTACAACAAATATAGACCCGAAAGTTTTAAAGACTTAACGGGGCAAGAATTATCAAAAAATTTATTAATAAATATCTTAAAAACTCAAAAAGAAATACATTCCTTTATATTTTATGGACCTAATGGTACTGGAAAAACTACTTCTGCAAGACTTTTTGCTCGAGCTATAAATTGCGATAAGTTTAAAAAATTAGAAGATATATGTAATGATTGTACTCCTTGTCAAATTTCTAAGTCTGAGAATTGTATAGACATTATTGAGATTGATGGAGCTACCCATAATGGTGTTGAATTTGTGAGAGAAATTAATAAAAATGCTCTCTACCCGCCATTGAAACTTTCCAAAAAATTATATATCATAGATGAAGCGCACTGTCTTAGTTTACAATCTTGAAACGCTCTGCTCAAATTAATTGAAGAGCCCCCAAAACATTTAATAATTATTTTGATAACGACAGAAGTGCAAAAAATCATTCCGACAATTCTCAGTCGATGCCAGAAGCTAAATTTTCCTGCTGTAAGTGAAGAATCGATCTCCTCCTTTCTTTTAAAAATCTCTGAAAGGGAAAAAAACCCCATTAAGAAAGAAATTCTAGAAAATATTGTTAAAAATTGCAACGGATCTGTTCGAGAAGCTTTAGTAATGCTAGAAAAACATTTTTTAAGTTATTCGCAAAAAAACAACCTAACATTTGAAAACCCTGATATTTCAGCTAGGAAGCTCCTTCATCTTATATTTGATAATCGCAACTTAAGCTCTCTTCAACAACTCCAAAAAATAGAAAATAACTTTTTACAAATTTTTGAATTGATCCTAAATCACCTTCTAGAATTATCTTTCTATACGTTGGATAAGGAATCAGAAGTATTTTTATCTTGCTTCACAAAAGAAGAGGCAGAAAACTTACTTAATAAAAAAAAAGATATTTCATCCATGATTAACTTTTTAGCAACAAATATATGTATCTCAAAATCTTCTTTTTCACTAGCTTACTCTAAATTCTTACTTTTAAATCTTCTTCACATCTCTTCTAAAAATGCTGATGAACACAAATATACAGATTCAATATCACTAAAAATAAATGAAACGATTTTCAAATTTCCTCCAAAAAAATCTACTGAAAATAATCAATATCAAAAAACTCATTTAAAAGCTTTATTAAGTGAAACTGTTTCAAATAAGGAGGTCGATACAGTACTTCCAAAAAGTGAGGATATTTTTTCAAATTCCCTATTAAAATTCCAATCTTTTGATTTGCCACAATTTGAATTTCAGGAAATACTTTTAAAAGAAGAAGAGATTATAAAAATACTTAGAGAATGTAAAGAGACGGAGGGCAAAAAATATTATCAAGAATTGCAAAAATACTTAGAATCAGAAAATCCCCTTCTTATAATTTCTGAATTATTTAAAAATATTCATCTCAAATATAAATTCATTTGTTCATCTGAAGATTGTTTAGTTATTTTTGCGGATCATAAAGATAGTCAATACTTTAACTTAAAACTAAAAAATTTAAAAATACAAGAAATAATCTATAAATTATTTTCACAACCAATTAATTTTTACAGTATTTCGCTCAATGAATTACCTATTTTTCTAGAAAAGAAAAAAATTCATGAACATAAAAAATTAAATAAAAAAACTTTATCTAATCAGGATGAAAAACTTTTTATAAAAATACAGGAAATTTTTAATTCTGAAAAAACAATAAATTAATGAATTTTCTTAAGTGAAAAAGGGAGATATTATTTTTAATCCCATCTATCACTGGTGGAGGAACTAGCTCTCTTTTTTTTACAAACTCTAATCATCGAAATGGAGAACTTACTTGAAAGAAAGTTAAGAGTATTGATACATTTTTACAATCTGTCGGAATAAACTCAGAATCAGAATTTTCTACCTCAAATTTACTAAAAGAGGCAAGTAATTATTCATCAATAATTCCCATCTTGACTAAAGCTCTTTCAGTTCAAGTTGCAAAAAAAATTTTCAATGGAAAACTATATAAAGGAACTAAATATGAAAGTAACATTGGAAAATTATATCCAAAAATATTAGCTGCTCAAAAACAGAAAATTGAACATCAACTTAAAAACCTTTCCAAAAGTAAGAAAAGAATCAAAAAAAATTGAACTCATGATGAAAAGAAATATTTTGATAATCTAAAAGATTACGTATTATCCCGGATTGATGAAAAGAATGTTCAAGAATATTTTTCCATTGATCCTGACAGTCATTTATTTAAAGGAAAAAATATCCAACATAATACTTCATCAAAAAGTTCGAAAGATAATTTATCAAATTCTATTACTCCCTTACTGGGTTTTTTAATGGGTGTATGGATAGAAAATCACAAGGCTGGATACTATGTACATCAAGTTATTCCATATTCGGAAAACTTTTCTCCAGCAACTAAAAATTTTTATGAACAAAAATACAAAGATATCAGACTACCTAGTAAGCCTGATTATTTTTTTCCTGACTATAAGGAGAAAGCCAGAGATAATAATGAAAATCTCTTCAAAGAATATATTGATGAATGATTTAAAGGGAAAAAAAATTATGAAAACTGATATTCATTATCTCCTATTGATCGAAGTTTAGAAATTAAGAACAATGCGAAAATTGAGTGAATTTCTTCAAAAAATAATACTCACAAAAATATCGCTCTTCGATATCTAACTGAAAGCGATGGGCAATCTGAACCCCAGAAAAAAGATTCAAACAATGGAGGAAGAAAACATCTCGCTTCTTGATATAACGCTCTTTCCTCCTTACTTTTACGCCATAAGAAAAAACATGATTGTGATATCTCTCAATCTACAGAGTCGCAATCTAGTTCTAATATTGCCACCATGCAATCCTTTTCTACTTTTTGGGGAGAATTAAAGTACAACCCCCTAAATATTTTCTGCATCAACAATTTGGGGAAATCTCAACCTGATTTCATGATGTTTGCTCCCGATAAACACTCACACAAAGCAGAAAATCTTGTTTCTTCAAAAATTATTTTTTACAGGGATGAAAAAGGATTTAATCTTCTCTATCCAGTTAATAGAAAAATTATAGATACAGCTAAAAATAAAGAAAAACAAGATGAAGAGCAGAAAGATCCAGGAGAATTTGAAAGCTTAATAAAAAATAGTGATTTAATATCTGAATTCAAAAAATACATCCAAGAAAATTTTTCCTTTTTGCTCTTAAAATATCACTCTTTCATAAGACAAAAAACTTCTAAAAAAAACGGTAAATCTCCTGAAACATGTTCTTGTGACGAACTGATAAATAAACTGATAGAGCTTATTGAACTGAGTAAAAAATTAAGAGACTGAGATTCAATATGAAAATTCTACGATATCCGTAAAGTTAATAATACTGTATTGACCGCATCTACTACAGGAAAAAATAATTATCTAAATAAAATGGGGACTGCTGATATTAATCCCCCTAATTTTTTGCAATCAAGAATAAATAAAGATTTACCTAAATTAAGAGAACTTCAAAAAACAGTTGAGGAATATGTACAAAAAGCTTCTCAATATCTAGACGGAGTGGGAACTCAGTCATCAGAAAATAATAAATCTTTTGAATTTAAAAAGTCAACTGACTCAAAAGGAAATAATTATTGAGTTATAGAGCAAAAAGGCCAATCTTCGAAATCTAAAGACGAAACTTGTATGAAGAAAGAGGTTCTACAGTATTTATTAGAGAGTATTTTTACTCAGCAATTAATTAATAAGTATTTGAAAATTCCCCTAATTTTTGAATCTGCCGGCGATTTATTTAAAAAGAAAAATTCTCAAAGCGGCGTGAAAAGCCGAAAAAAAAGAGAAGCTCAGACATCCAATAATAGTTCATGAATTGAAAAGATTTTACAAGAGAAGTGAAAAGTCTACCTAAATTCTGAATCTAATGGTCAAAAGTTAGAGAATTTACTTTTAGAAAAAATTAAAAAAGCAGATATTCTATCTAGAATTTCTAACCTCTCTGACACTACTCTACATCATTTAACTCAAAACATCTCTTCGGAAAATAAAGAAAAAATAGAATCTTCAACAACATCTAATGAATTCAATAAATGAGATAACATTGAAAGTTTTATTTCATTAACAAATTTAGATGATTCTAAAAATCTATTGGATGAACAACTAAAAATATTTATCACTTCTTTGTATTTAATGGAAAATTCATTTGAAGAATATAGAGAAAAAATCAGAAAGATTATTAAAGATGAAGGTTTTGGAGTTTATGCATTTACTTTAAGCTGAAACAAATTTTGTACAGTCGATAGCTTTTTAATAGATCCAATTCAGAAAGTAGAGATTGAGAGTTTCTGGACTCCATTGCAAAATCAAAAAGAAAATAAAGATAAAGAGTGAGATAAAAATAATACAGATCCTAGACAATGTATAAAAACTTCTGATAGGATGGCCACTTCCACTTTAAAGAAAAAATTCTCTCAATCTAATCCAGCGAAGGTATTACTTAATTTTTTTATTTCCCTCGTAGAGAGCATAACTTCTGAAAGTAATTTAAAAGAAGAACAATTAATGGGTTTCAAGGGTTTAATCTCTTCTGAGGATATAAGTAAAT